TAAAAAATATCATAAGCTCCAACTGTGTTACAAATATGTCGCAATTGACAACTTGCATATGTCATTGCTTGATAACCAAATTCCACACTAGAACAGGTAAACCCTGTTTGCTTCTTACTTTTCCAAAATATAAAAATGGCACCAAAAAACATACAGTAATACAAAGGAGATCTTGGACCGTACAATCCTAAACAATCAGTATATCCCTGTACTAAGGAATTGCCATTATTTTATATAAAAAAAAATAAAACCCTGTCTCGGTTTTCTTTTCAAATATCGCATGATTTTGATTACAATATCCCAATGTGTTGTTTAAGGTGATGCCATAAATTGGCATACTTGTGGGATATTTTATCTGGCGAATGATGATTACTTGATTCAATTTTCCAACAAGTCTGCAGTACCTTTCTTAATCTTTCAAACATTTACATCTTTCCATCAAGCTTAACATTAGGCTGCATAGGGTTGTCAACTGGTTTTGCACCAAGTACTGCAGTTTCCTACAAATTATAAAGAATGTATTTGCATGAAATAAGCAAATGCCCATCTTAGAGTGAGTAACTTCAATGCCTAGAAAGTATCTTAGTTAACTAAGATCTTTAGTCTCAAACTTCATGTGAAGAAAATATTTCAATGATTGTATTGCAACAATCATCACTAGTGATCACAATACTATCGACATCGATGATTAATAGAATTCTTCATCATCGGTACAACGATAGAAAACTAAGTGATCAATGAAGCATTGTTGTAACCCAAATTCCATGACAACTACGCTAAATCTCCCAAACTATGCTCTTGGAAATTTCTCTAAACCATATAAAGTGTATTCAACGTGCACACCAAATGAATCTCCCTATGAGCAAGAATTCTTCGTGGTTACTCTATATAGTTTGCCTCATGTAAATTACCATGAGGAGAAGCATTTTGTCTATTTTATGAAGGGATCAATCGTGCATTGCTACGAAACCAAGCCTGATACATTTAATGGTAATGAGTATCATTTAGCAACAAGACAAGCCTAGAAACATTCAATGGTAAAAACCAATGACAACCAATAATTTAATGATCTAGTGGAGGAGAGGACAAGGCGTCACGTATCATTGATTTGTAAGGGTACACTTCTTCTATAACACGACGCAATCAAGGGTGACTCAAAGTTTCCGAGACCCTGGTAATGGAGATAGCAAATAAAGATGACACAAATGACACAATAAGCCATAAGAAATATAGTTAGAGATAGGATAAGAATTACAGGTCCGACCTTTGTGAAAAACAATGGGAAAATCAAGATCATTATCTAGTGGAGATGAAGGCATACAAAATGAAGTCGGGACAAAGTCAACGTTTTGTAAGGAGAGACGAGACCAACGAGAGTAATATACCTATAAATTTGGCCGAGAGAAACACATAGTAGGATCGGAAGCAATGCCAGGCTCGGAAGAAAGGGCAATATGGGCCTGAAAAAATGAGGTGAGGTTGTATCTTGAAAATGAGAAATGAAATGTCAAACAAACAAGCTATCCTCAATAGATAAAGATGAGTGGAATGGGCAGAAGTATGGAGTTTCTTCTAAACAGTGACATCGCCAAACATAAAGGAGCAATTCAATGATGGACTGAAGCACTTATAAACTTTTTTAAGATGGGAATATCCGAAGAAAATGTACTTAATGGGTGTCAAATCCAACTTATCAGTACCAGGTCAGAGTTGGTAAACAAATCAAACACAAACAAAGACAAGGGGAATGATAGAAACAGGTTATTTCCCTAGTAACATAACAGAAAAATAGGGTATGACCTGAGAGTACAATCGAAGGCATCCAGTTAGTAAGAAAACATCCAGCAAAAATAGCATTGATTAGAAAAAGTTTGGGACATTCAAATTAATTAACATAGTACGAATTGTTTCAATGAAATGTTGAATTTTCTTTCAACAATCCCATTATGTTATGGAGTATGAGGGCAAGATTAATGTTTTATGCCAAGCTGATCAAGATAAAGAATGGCTTAGGGAAAACTTTCTGAGCACTAACACTACAAAGTGTGAATGAGACATCCAAATTGGGTTTGAATTTCAGCATAGAAAAAACAAAATATGAAAAATTCTAGATAAGTTCATAAGAGACAACCAGATCATGTGAGAGAATTCATCAATAATAAGGTAGCATACCAAGTAACTCACAAATTTTGTTAATAACAAACCTACCTAACACTAATAAATGTTCTCTAATTAGTATCTAACAGTGTATTTTGACTTCCGTGGAGATCACACATCCTAGTACTACAGTCGCCCAAGCACGGTTGATTTCAGAATTCTGATGGGATCCTCTGAGTTAGGCTGCTATGGGTTGTGCAGCCACCAAGATTAAGTACATGTATATTTTATGACTTAGGATTATTGAAGAGAGAATTTATTCGAATCAATGAAAATATAGTGAGACAGAGAAAATATAGTGAGACGGAGGAAAATCAATTCGCTCTGTAACCAAAACCAAAATAATGACTGTCTAACCTAACATGACCTAAATGCACCATATATATATAGGGCGGACTTATGGCCAAGCCCAAGACTCATAATCAACAATTAAACAGTAAATCAAATAATAAGAGAAATAATAAGAAATAAAATAATAATTATCATAAATGAGTACGGTGCTTCTCCATCTTCTAATATAGACCTTGACTTTACCTAACTCCATAACAACTCCATCCCTCTTGAAATCCGCCTTGTCCTCAAGGCAGAAGACAAGAAACTGGAAGCGCAATTCTTCTTTCATCAACCTAAGTCGAATCCTTCTACATTAGTCCATGCCAATGAATCAAAACCTGAGGAATGAGCTTGACTCCGTGGATCTGACCTCACCTTCTGTCCACCCTTTGACCTCGTCCATCTCTTTGGGCTCGGCCACCCAATTCGTATCTGGGTCCATCACACAAGTTCGAACGGACTTGCTTGCACACTTATGCAATGGTGTATAAGGCTCCTTACAGCAGTAACAAAGTCGCTTAGACTGACACTCGCGATACTCTTCACGACTCAGTTTTCGGAAAGGAACTCGCACGGAGGACTGGTCCGAAGCCACCGGGCATCCGCCAGTGGAGCTGTTGTCCGTGCCTGGTCCACTGCTCTCGATGCCATTCCCAAGACTAGAGGGACCTACCGGAAGTCCAGTTTGTGCTCCACCATTACGGCGCGAACTCGCAAATTGACCAAGTGGTTGTCCAGGTTGTTGATATGTCGTGGTAGAACCAGCATTAAATTCCCACTCAATGCTACGGCTGATCTAGATAGCTGAGTCCAAATCTTTGGGGTCTAGTGTCCTCAGACGATTGCGGATGTTCTGCTGCAATCCCCCCATGAAGTATCCGAGGTACAGTTGGATGAACTCGTTGATATACCGATCAACTCCCCTTTTTTCTCCGAACTGTGGCAAGGCGCTCGTAGGGACTCCCTACGTAACGATCATCAAAACGAAGGACTAGGGCTCGGGAAAACTCCGCCCAAGTGGCGGTTGGGTGGCGAAAGTGTTGCCATAGAGACCAGTGCAACGTTGTACCCTCCATGACGATGCGCGCTAATGCTACCTTGAGTGTTGTTTGCACCTGGTGGAGTTCAAATTGTTGCTCAGCGCGAGCAACCCAACCAATAGGTTCCGTCCCGTCAAACGGTGGTAATCTGACTTCTGAGAGGAATGGAATGGCGAAGCTACCGTGGCGGGGGGTCAACTCCCCTAACGGTTGAGAACCCGGCACTAGTGGATGTCCCATGGTGACGCTGAGTCGGTGGCTGACCCACTAACGCAATGGCATCAACAGCGGCGCTGACGCCGCCGAGCGTTGCCTTGATCGCTGCGAGCAACTCCTGCAGTAGCGAAACCATCTGATTCGTGTTCTGTTCTCCCAAAGTCTCGAGTTTGGCGGAAAGATCCTAGCGGATCTGGTTTACTTCCTCCTGTATTTCTCCAACGGTTGTTCCCAATAATTCGAATCATTGTTTATCGGAGATAGGCATGATTCCGTCAGCAGAGGATCCGGCAGGTCGGACCAATTGTTATGACTTAGGGCTATCGAAGAGAGAATTTATTCGAATCAATGAAAATAAAGTACTACAGAGGAAACTAATTTGCTTTGTAACCAAAACCAAAATAATGACTGTCTGACCTAGCATGACCTAGATGTGCCCTATATATAGGGCGGACTTATGGCAAGCCCAAGACTTATAATCAACAATTAAACATTAAATAAATTAATAAAAGAAATAATAAGAAATAAAATAATAATTATCCTAAATGAGTACGGTGCTTCTCCCTCTTCTAATATAGACCTTGACTTTACCTAAGTCTGTAACAGTATATGTAGGACTAATGATCTAATAGAAAAATTGAGATTTTTTCCCTTCTGAATTTCAGACTCTCATACGATTGTAATTTGATTTGATGCAACATGGCAAATGATCAAATCAACTTCATAAATCTGTAATCAAGCTTTGACGATCTCATCTGTTCAAGTCTAACAACTAAAGCATCCAAGACTTTGTGTATGTATATAAACCTATACATTATCTGAACCTTATGTTGCTGCATCTGTCACAGCTCTTTGTCCTTGGTCCACAAAAATCCCCCAACAACAAAACCACACATGAACAAGTCTGTAAGTTTATGGAGTGTATCCAATCTTTCTTTCCAACTTTTCTTGTACAATTCTGCTCTCTGGAATAATCCTTATTATGGATTTTAAACAATAATTTCAGCTTTAAAGAAGAATGATAATGTTTTGTGTAGAAAGAATGAAGGAAAAGTTCATCTATGTCTGATACTTCCAAATTTAATCCAATATGCACATAAATTTAAAAGAAAAATGTATAATGCTTATTTTGCATAAGTAACTTCAACAGCATTGGATACTTCAAAATTAAATTCCCTGGCAAAACTTATAAACGAAGTATAAATTCTAATTGCAGAGCTCCACTATTCAGTCAATGACTAAGACAGCAAATACCTGGTGGTATACCATAGATAATCGGACTTATCCTTTGTCACATTTAAGTGCTCCAGAATGCCTAGGTGAGTGAAGTTGTTGTCACTCCAGACACCAATTGGCTCCTTAACAAAACTCCAGGCTTTTGAAATGTACTCAGATTCATATGGCACCATCAATTTCAATGATGAAAGATCATATATGCCTGAAGAGACACCAAGTCCAGTCGTCTTGATGGAAGTCTGTGCCCCAATCTGTTTTAATCATCAAAGAAAAAGTGTGTGGTGTATGGACATATTATAGCTCTAAAATGTACTTTACGCTTTATTTCCCCGTTAAGCTTTTTCCATGCCCGTTCAATATCAGATAGTTGAGCCATCTTGGTGGCTACTTAAACAGAATGTGATTGTGGGAAATCATTATAATTGTAGAAATTCATTATTTTATGTTAAAATAGCATAAAATCTACTTGTGATTTATGAAAATTGCATGAAACCCTCCATTGTTTTAAAATTACATCAGACTCCCTTATTGTTTCAAAACCCCTGCATTTACACTCTTCCATCATTAATTAATGGTGAGTTAGTAGTTATGGAGTTTCTGAATTACTTTTACAGTTAGAACGCGTGTAGATGAATGGGGGTTAAACGCATGACTTTAAAAAAACTATAAGGGAGTCTAACGGTGCTTTAAAATAATAGGGAGTTTCACATAATTTTTCATAAACCACAGGTGGGTTTTATGTTGTTTTGCCTTATTTTATTATGAAAATTTATTAATAGATTATAAATAAATCAGCATGGATATATCCATGAATCACAGTTGGCTCTATATGAGAATCATGTTGCAAACATAAAATATATATAACCCAATTTATATATTCTCAACAAAATCTTCTAACCGAAGCAAGTGATACCTTGGCAGTATTAAAGGCAATGTTTCTGCAATCAGGCAATATAATCACAGACCAAGGTGGTAAATTGTATGCTTGATTGAGAAAATTCACTGTGGCAGACCTATGCTCGTCAATATTAGCAAGAAAAGCCGAACACTTGCTATCATCACGATAGACGTGTGCCTGTAAATATTTGTAACTTTGTAAGTGCCAGAGTAACATGCAACTCAAAGTTACTTTCATCCTGTTTGATATATGTGGAAGAATACTAAGTTACCGGAAAAGCTAATGGCTATGTATTTAGCAACAAAACAAAAAACAAGTCCATAATGTAGTAACAAATTCAGTAGTCTTCAAACAGTATACAATACTAGCCAATGGCAGTTACACTGCGGATGGAAGTGTGAAATTTTAGGCAAATCAATGGAGTTATTCACTACTGCAATATGCAGAAGAAGTTTACTTCCATATTATCTGAGAGGTTTCTATGTTGTAAGTAATCAACCGTTTTGCATTCCATGTGCCAAAAACACCCTGATTACAGTAACTAGAATACAATAGTGTTTGAATTTCTGTTGATAAGTGACCACTATGTTGGGAAAATAGCTGTTTAAAGTACTCAATTTTAACAAAAGGCAGCCAAATTCAAGTATTAAGTAATCTATTGACACAACATTCTTGTTACTGTGTGAATCAAGAACACTTTGATTAGTACTATAAATAGAGGGCCTCTGGTTGATCTAATTTAAATCAACTTGTTTCTGACCAAACCAAAGGGGAAAATCCAACACCAAATAGGTAAAACAGAAACAGATTTGATTTTACAAAAAAAAAAAAATTAAATAAAATATAACCTATTTAGCAAGAAAATATTACTCACCTATTCACTTCACTGTAATGCAGAAAACTAGGAGCACATGAATAAACTCTAAATATTAATTTGTCAACACAACTTTATGGAATGTACCTGTTATAATTAACATCAAGAAAACTAAAACCTTATTCAAACGAAAAAGACGAAAGGAATAATAAGATTATTAATTAGGAAACTGCAAATTGTGATGCAAAAAATAATAAAAAAAGCACGGCAAAATATTTTTATGACAGAGTTTAAGAAGCTATAACTGCAAGATCACAACATCACATTTCCTAGGATTTTGGGAATGGCCTATGCAGGAAAAAAAGAATATAGAAGCAAATAACAGAACATTATCGTATGATGCAACACAAGAAATCAAAAGGAAGTAAAATTAGAACATAAAAAACTCATACAGACCTCTTGCTTGGGTCCCAATTTGATATATGTAGGTGAATGAACAGCAACAAGAACAGGCTCACATAGTTTTATGGCAGCATGCAGATCCTTCAGATGTCCCCATTTAGGCTGTCTCAGGAGCCCTAGAAATGTGGTGAAGCAATTAAGAAAAAAGCATTAGATGTACGACAACATAGATCAACAAGCCATAACTAATCTTAATTAACCCTAATAATTAATATTAATAATATTAAAATAGTGCCTTGTGACATGGCAACGGTGCACCTCTGGCACACTTTGCCATAGCAAATGTTGCAGAGGGTATGTCATAAAACCGTGTTCTTTCTATTACGTCTATTAAAAAGAGGAAGAAGTTGAAAATCCCACCATATTCATCAATTGGTGCATCATAATCATAACTAGTGATGATATTTGGGCCTCCTGCAGTACGACCAAAGTTTGTCCCACCAAAGTACTGCAACCACAGTAGCATAACTTGGGAAATTATACTTCCAATCATCTTAACATCATATGGTGATGAAAGCAGATCTTCTAAAAAGGAAAAGAGGCCCTTTGAAGAATCTAAACTGAATATACAAAAATCGAACAGAGACAATGACAGTTCTTGGGTTACAATTGATTATCTTCTACAAAAGCATCCACAGGTACAAAAGGTTCAAAGTTATAAATTCCCAGTGCAGAATAAACATATACCATCCTCATATTACAGGTATGCATTCACAAATAGCTAACATATATTTTAAGTCACACCCAGTTTATGTTAGCAGCATACCATATAATAATTAAACAAACTCCCCCCTCTTTGGAAAAAGCGAGCAACTGCAAAAGCAATATCTTCAGTAGGGCGGTGGGGAACTCTGTCACCCCAATCTGCATACCTTCGAACCAAGAAGGAAAAGAATATCACATTCAATGTTCAAAGCCAGCCTTAATCTTGACACGAACAAATAGCTTTCCAACATAAATTTATGGTCAAAGTCAGATTCGAGTGAAGAAACTCAATCCTGCGAATTTTCCAGATCCAATTAAACTTCATGTCTTTACTTATTATCGTTCAATATCAAACTAGAAGCTGAGTAGAAATACACTGTCAGACAAAAAATATATATCTGCAGCATCCCTTGGGCACAGACATGTAAGCCATTTCATTATTATTATTTTCTATTTATTATTCAAGAGAGAGAGAAATAGATAGATAGAGAGACGGAGAAAGAGAGTGAGAGAGTGTGTACCATCCATCCCAATTCTCAGTCCATACAATTGGTTTCTTGTTCGAATTTGGCTTGAAACCATCACAATAGTATCCATTGCATGTATCAATCTGGTAAATCCAAAAGATAAGCACATTTTATGAGAAAAATAGCCCAAATACAACACTATACAGAAAATTAAATTTATCTGACACGCAAAAGCATACTTGTATTTTAAATTGCTATATATCTACACATATCAAACAGAACAAGCCAGATAAACACAATTTATGCAAGGAATCTCGAGTTTACAATGTATTCTGGTGCATCAACTTGCTTACACATAACCCAAGGAACACCAGCACCAAGTCCAACTGCCATTTTCGCAGCCCATCTCATATACTCTTTTCCTCCACGACCGAAAGAGCTTTCAATATTTCCATATTCATTTTCAATCTGCAGTGCACATTGTGATTACTAGGAGATAGAATTTTGTTACATAAAACTAAGACACAATATAACACACTATGAAAGGTAGTTGAGTATCCACAATTTTTAAATTAAGTTGGTAGCTTCTCTATCACTGATAATCACTTGGCTCACAGTGAAAGCTAGGCTAGCAAGCAGAAACAAAAGATATATGCAAATTTCCCTACTCTTATCCATAAAAGAAAACAAAAGATATATGCAAATTTCCCTACTCTTATCCATAAAAGAAACTACAAAATTGATTGCTTTAGTGCCACAATAAACAATTGCCTAGGGTTTAGGGTCACCTTGTTTATCTGACCTGCAACAAAATTATTGGGCCGCCTTGCCATGCAAAAAGTGACTCCTCTAACATCAAATCCACTATCTTTTTGACAAACCTCTGCATTTCTTCCTGCAGAATGCAAGGCCGTGGTTACAGTAAAAATCAAGGTGACGTATGAAGCCTTTAGGTTAGTGTTAAAAACAAGGTGGTGTATGAAGCCTTAGGTGTTCAGTATTTTGTGAGAATAAAATAAAACCAACAAGATTTAAATTTCCGAATTAACCTATCCAGCCATCAAAAGAAATCACACTATGTAAGTCAATGGAAATCACAATGAGATGCATGATTATATTCAAACAATTTAATAGTATAAGTAAATGATGTTGTTCAATACCTTAAAGGGTTTGTTATCTGTTCGAAATTCAATACCAGGAATATCTCGAAGCCAAACAGGAAAGCCCCTGTAAATAATTAAGTGGAGCTATTAGAAGAAAATGTAAGTTCCCTTTAATCAAATGCATGTGCAAAGATGAATACTGATAAAAAATGATATAATCACGTTTGCTAGTTAGATTATCCCAATACAATTTTGATTTGATTTTACAATGACCTAATTCATTATTGGTGAATTAGTTTCAGGATATGACATACAAATTATAAATCTTGCAACCATTATTGATATAGAAATAAGCAGCGGAGAGAAATTCACCCGAAGTTCCATTCAGCACAAACATAAGGACCTATACGTAGAAATAAATATAGGCCACTAGAACCCACTAGCTTCACAAACTTCACAATGTCATATCGCCCTTCAAAGTCATACTGAAATTATGGGCAATTTATTAGATAACAATATCACAATCATAGAGAACCAGATTATGAATGCAGAGGTAAAAGTTATACTTGTCCCTTTACTGGCTCGTGAACGTTCCAAAATACATATGTTTCAATGACATCAACTCCACCTTCTTTGCTCTTTGAAATAAGATCAGGCCACATCTGGCATCATTCGGAGCCATCAGTGAAACATATACTCTTCAAATGACAAAATTAAAGAAACTAATACACACATAATCTATTTCGGAAGCTGAAGATTGTTTCAGTGGCAGAAACTAAATATTCAGGAAGAAACCAGATGAAAATTCACTTTGGATATCGTTATTTCCATGGAAATAATCCATCCTGGTCATGCTTTGTTTTCTAGCAACATTGACATGGGCTAAAAATAATATGCAAATTTTCTCATTGCGTGTTATAGGGGGGGCGTGGGCGCGGCAAAGGGGAAATTTGATTTAGTGAATCTATTTCCTTCCAAGTCTAGGCCCCTAATGAGATAATGCGTTCCTCCAAGTCCAGTAATTCCTTTTTTTTTTAAACTCAACTAAACGAACTACGCAAGCAACTATGAAGTCTTTTACAATGAAAGCAATAAAAAGCATCCCAAGTGAAAACTATGCGCAAAGAACCTCAGCACCAAACGACCAAGATCCCACCAAGAAAGGAACTACAACAATGATTCAAAACCTGCAACAAATGCGGCACTGCACAAACGGAAAAAGGAAACGAATTTTGGCAGACGAGTAATCATGTAAACAGAAGAATCATCACTGATGACTTACTTCGGCGGTGGCTCTGGGGTAGTGGATTCCACCGGAGACTAGCATTCGCCTCTCTCCACCGATGACCACCGCTCTGCCATCGTAGCTCACATTGAACGGCTCAAAAAACTCTCCAGCAACAATTAGTGATTGCGCAATCAGCCCCAAGAAAACCCATTGAAGTACTAAGCCCATCTTCCAATTCAACTCGTTCCGCCAGCGTGCAGTGCTCCTTGAATAGAAATAAGAACCGCAGGCGTTGCAGTTGCAATTATATCGAACAGTAGTATACGTCAAGAAACCAACGATGAAAGAGACTTGCGGGCGACAAAAAACACAGAATCGGATGACCGTCCAGATGTTGGAAGTAAAAAGTTTTCTTGCATCAGCAGCGCCTGCAATTCTACAGCAGGTGAAGTGAAACTGACGACGGTTTCACGAATATAGGATACGGGCCAATCAGTGATATTAGTACTAAGCGAATGGATTAACCTTGGCTAATATAAATATTTGACCGAGTGCATAAATTTAGAGAAAGAAAATAAATAAATAAATACAGTAAATTTGGCGAAGTTATGACTTGAGTTTAAACGTTTTCTATTACTAAATTAACCAAAGTTAGTAGAAAATATGTTATTCTTGTTAGAGAAAAACACAATTTAGTGTACTAAATCAATGATGGACAGTACATTTTGAAAAATAACAAAAAAAGAAATACCTTAAGCACCTTCACACGCACCCACTTAAAGATCTAACTTTCGAACAAGAGATGTTTCACAGTTTGTGATCTACAAGAGTTTGACATCACAATATGATTCAACTTGTCTTTTAACTTCACTAGAACTCAATTTTTTTGTGAAATTGAATCAATCCTTAATTCTTTTGCTACTTCTATTAACTTTTAACTGTCTAGAAACTTGCGGCACCAAAATTTGACCTGGGATTGATTTTTAAAATTTTAAAAATAAGTTTTTTACACTATTTCTCATATTTTAAAAATAAATTTAAAAATCTTTAATCCTCATATTTTGAAAATTTGACCTGGGATCTCACAAAATCTGTACCCGTTTCCTACACGTTGCAATTAGTTTCAACCAATTCTATTTATATGATAATTATTTTAATAAGTCAATTATTAATACAAATGCATGATGAAAATTTTGTATGCAAGGATATGACATTATTTTTTTATACAACGAAGGATCTGACCTTATTTGTTCTGCACAGAGTGATCTTCATTGTGTCTGTAAATTATATTTGGACCACTTGAAAACAAATGCGTGATGGAAAATTTTTCTTTGGATGCGAACATCTCGGTGGAAAAGATTAAAACATGTTGGTTTTGAATTCTTTATGCATTGACAAGGACTCGTATCTGTAGAGATTATTAATAAGCCCGGCGGATCTCATGAGAAGAAGTCGCTCTCACCAAATTCGCAACCAACTTGAACACGTTACAATTAATTGCAACCAATTTTGTTTATCTAATAATTAATTTTAATAAGTCAATTATCAAAATAATCAAAATAGAATGGATATTTTTGTAATTGGTCTGGGCCCATGTAGCCACGAGCCTCTATGGCCCAATGGCCTAAGGCCCATATTTGATATTATATTTGGATTAGTACAAGCTAAGCCCAAGTCAAGCCTATTTTCTAATCATTCTACAGCCCTATGGCTTAAGGCCCATTTTTGATATTAGAGTCCTCTTATTCTTCTGTAGCACTCTTTCATCTCATGGGTTGCGGCTTTAAGAAAACTGAAAATTAAGGTCCATTTGTCCTTTCTTGATATCGATACTACATATGTGTTTTGCAAAGACCAGCCGGCGGATTGCTACCACCTATTCTTCAGCTGCCCATTTTATAATCATGTTTGGACTAATATATGTTTCATTGAATGCTCTAGCGGGGCTCGACTCTCTCGAAAGTGTCTCGGATTAGGCTAAAAGAGACAAATGCAAGGATTCGGCCTTATTTGTTCTGCACCGAGTGGCCTTTGTTGCGATTGTATATTACATTTGGACCGCTCGAAACAAATGTGTGATAGAAAATTTTTCTTTGAGTCCTAACATCTCGATGGCAAAGATTAAATCCTGTTGTTTTCGTATATTTTATGCATTGGCAGGGACTCGCATCCATAGAAATTATTGAAATCAGCCTGGCAAATCTCCTTTGGATTTAGCCCTTCATAGTTTTGTTGGACATATGACACATTAGGAATAAAGTTGCCGAGCTACGCCACTACCATGATCTTTCATTGTTGATCTTGATCGACAAGGGATGTAACTAACCTTATGCGAGATTGCGCTTAAGAGGGTGGATTAAGGCCCTTTTGAATTAAATCAAAAGCAGAAGTAATTCCAATTTGTATTTGGATGATTCATTATAAAAGTAGTTTTTTATTGAAAAATTATTTGTCTTGTAATAGAGTTGAAAGTGATTTTAAACCGTTAAAATCACTCAATAGGACATGTTGTTAATATAATTGTATTTTCCTATAAAAAAAATTATGTTTTATTTCAAAATTTTATTAATTATATTTAAAGATTTTAAAATTAAAGTACAAAATATATTTTTAAAATTTGGTTATTTATATTTTAAAATTTTAATTTAAGGATAATATCTAAATTAAAATACAAATTACAATCTAATATTCAATTATTTGTATTTTAAAATTTTATAAATTATATTCATAATTTTAGTATAATAAAAAAAAGTATATACTCCTATTTAAATTTGGTATACCAATTGTAATTTTAAATTTTAATTCAAGTATAACATATAAATATAAAATAATAATATATTTATATTTTTTTATTTTATTAAACTATAATATATTAATTAATTATTTTTATATTATATTATAGTATTGTATTTATTTTATTAAGGATAAAAACACTAATTTTAACTGAAATTTTTTTTTTTTTGTTTATTTCAAAAGGTACCCTCAATGTACTTCCGAAAAAAAAAAACATTTTTCAACCTACAAAATTGCTTATGTTTTTGACATAAACCAATGCAAGCAAGTAGAAAGTATTTTTTCTTAGAAGTAGAAGCCAAAAGTTCCTCAGCCTAAGACCTTTTATTTTTTATTTCTTGGGTGTGCATGACATATTTTGTATTTCTTGTAAAGCTCGTGGTATTCGCTTTTTATGGTAATTATCTGTAAATTATTGATCTTTCCGTTTATCTGTTATTTTTCTACCTATATTATTTAGGTATTAATATATCTTTCATGTTTTCATTAAAAATAAAAACACCATTCTCTTTCTTCTGTTTCTCTTTATTCTTTTACCTTTTTTTTTAATTTTTTTTTCTCTTTTTAACATTTTATTCTAAAGTCTTCACCTCGCTGCTTTGAGAGAAGGATCTGATCTTCTCGAAAAATAAATGCAATCAAAGAAAAGAAGTAGTGTCTGGTGGAAGTAGACACCATAGATGTTTTGCATATTTTTTCACTAAAAATTAAATAAAAACAATGAATTGTAGATTCAAAGAATTTTCAAACCGAACCGTGAAAATTATTGTTGATTTTAATTTGAGGCGATTGTGGAACCATCGGTCGAAACGGGTTTGGTATTTCTGAACGGACCAATCCGATTTTCCTGTCCGCTCACCTCAGTTGAGGTGTGGTCTCAAATATAAAATTTTTTTCCAAAAAATTAGGGTGAAATAAGATGAGAGAAAATTCGAAAAAAATAAATAACTTTGAATTCGAGTCTCGCGTGGAACGCGAATTCTTTGAAGCGAATTTAAACACACCACTAATCACTTCTTATGATATAATAAATGAATTCAGAATCACTATTTTGAATTGAACAAAATTGAAAAAATAGGAAGATTTTATTTTATTTTATTTTCCAAAAGGTTTGTTTTGAGGAAGAGAGGAGAAAATCACATAGGTTTTTCCAATGATTAAAACTTAAAAATGAGATAGTAGAAAAATTAAATAGAATATAATTATATTTAAAAATAATAATTTTTGAAAGAAGGGTTTTATTTTGTATTTGAAACATATGAAGAAGAAGTCACTCCCACAAAATCTCCACTCACTTCTAACACGCTGTAATTACTTAGAACCCATTCTATTTATCTAATAATTGACTTTTAACTCTTTTTTTTGTTTGTTATTGAACTCAGTCCACATGGAACATGACCCATGGCTCAAAGTCTATCTTTGTTGTTATTTATGGGCTAGCCAAGCCGCTAACCCCAAGCCATGCCTAGTTGGAGTTATCTTATTCTTCTGAACCTTTCTTCCATCTTGTGGCTTGCAACTTTAGAGCTTTTTTGGTTAAATTTGAGGGGAGAGGAGGGGAGGAGAGAGATTTTAATAGAAGGGAGAGTAGGTGAAGGGAGGGAGAGAGAAAATGTTAAAATGATAATAGTACGTTTGGCTCATATAAAATAAAAAAGATGGGATACGAGATAAAATAATATTCTTTTTTATTTATTTTTTTATGTTTGGTTAAACCGAAGAGGGAGAAAAATAGAATAATTTTACTATTTTATTCTTATATTATATAAATAAAAAATAAAAATATTTAATAAATTAAATTAATTATTAAACTAAATAAAATAATTAAAATATTTTTTTATTATAAATATAACTATATAATTATTTATATAATAAATTTAATTAAAATTAATTTAAAATATTTCAAAACATACATAAACTGATCATAAAAGTAAGTATTTATTGAAAATAAAATATAGATAAATAATTAATTTTATATACAAATAATAATAGATATAAAAAAAAATTATATAAACTAAGTCAATTGTAAATATTAATTATAATAATGGATGTTAATTTAAATATATTTATTTTATTAAATAAATTATTAAAACTAAATCCATTCATTTAAATTTAAATTATTTTAAAAAATTTTAATCAAATAAACTTTTTATAGATATAATTATATACTAATTTATATATATATAGTTTTAAAAAATATTATAACTAAATTTGATATAAAAAATATTTAAAATATATGATAGGTAATTACATATATTTTTTTTTTAAATAAAAATACATTCCCTCCAAATTCCGTAATTAAAAAGAAAGAAAAAATTAAAAGACATTGTCTCCCCTCCCCGTTCTCCTCTCCTCCCCTCTACGGTCTCTTTGGTTCGAGGGTTTAAGATGGGAGGGGAAGGGAGGGAAATGTATGCAATTCTAATAATTTTTGTGTTTGATTCAAATTTTTTGAGAGGGAAGAGGAAGATAAGACAGGGGAGGAGATTTAATCTTTTAGATTTTTATTCCTCTTCAATTTGGGGGAATTTTGAGGTGAGGGATATTATTAAACAATTTTTGCCTATTATACCATTTTTAACATTTTATTAAATTTTTATAACATTTTTCAAAATTTTAATATTTATTTATTTTATTTTTAAATATACGTATAAATACTAATGTATATTATGGATATATCTAAA